GTGTTATCTTTAATTTCTTTGAGTTTCCTCAAACCAGCTATTTTTAATTCTCTGTCTGAAAGGTAACATATCTGTTTCTCCAGGATTGGTCACTGGTGCTTTATGTAGTTCATTTAGTGAAATCACGTCTTCCTGGATGGTCTTGATGCTTGTGGATGTTCATCAGTGTCTGGGCATTGAAGAGTTAGGTATTTATTGTAGTCTTCACAGTCTGGGCTTGTTTGTACTTTATTTTCTTGGGAAGGTTTTCCAGGTATTTGAAAGGGCTTGGGTGACGCAATCTAAGCCATATCTGCATTAGGGGGCACCCCAAGCCCAGTAACATTGTGGTTCTTGCAGACTCAGAGAGATACTGCCTTGGTGGTCTTGGATAAGATCCAGAATTCTCTAGATCACCAGACAGAAACTCTTGTTCTCTTCCTTTACTTTCTCCCAAACAAATGGAGCCTCTTTCTGTGCTGAGCCACCTGGAGCTGGGGATGGGATGACGAAGTACCCCTGTGACCACCACCAGTGGGACTGCACTGGGTGAAACCTGAAGCCAGCACAGCACTAGGTCTTGCACAAGCCCTGCTGTAACTACTACCTGGCTACTGTCTATATTTGCTCAAGGCCCTAGGGATCTACAATCAGCAGGTGGTGAAGCCAGCCAGGTTTCTGTTCTTCTCTTTTGGACAGAGAGTTCCCTCAGGCCCCAGGTAGGTCCAGAGATGCTGTCTGGGAGCCAGAACTAGAGTCAAAAATCTTAAAAATCTACCTGATGTTTTATTGTAACATATTGAGAGTGGCTGAGCTGGCACTGAAGCCATGAGACCATCCCACTCTTCCCTCCCTCTTCCACAGGCAAAGGAGTCCCACCTTTTGGCCACCACCACCAGGTCCATGGGGATTACTGCCAGGCTACTCCCACTGTTCACTTAAGGTCCAAGGGCTTTTCAGTTAGTTGGTGATGAATGTCATCAGGCCTGGGACTCCCCTCTGCCCCAGGACAGGTATAGAAATGCTATCTAAGAGCCAAGGCCTAGAATCAGGGACCCCAAGAGCCCCTTAGTGCTCTGCCCCCTCATTGCTGAGTGGTAAATAAGGTGCAAGACAAAGTCCTCTTTACTTTTCCCTCTGCTTTTCTCAAGCAGAAGGAGTCCCTCACTGTGACCATCACATCTGAGAATGTGCTGAGTCTCACCTGAAGCCAGCACATCTCAGAGTCTCACACAAGACTCGCAGAATACTACCTCGATATCACTACAGGTTATTCAGGGCTCAAGGGCTGTTCAGTCAGCAGGTGATGGGTCCTGACAGGACTGGGTCCTTCCCTTCAAGGAAGTGGGTTCCCTTCTGGCCCAGGATATATCTAGAAACGTCATCTGGGAGCTAGGGCCTGGAATGGAGGCCTCACGACACTGACTGGTACCCTATCCTACTGTGACTAAACTGGTATTTAAGATGCGAAACAGAGTCCTTTTTACTCTTCCTTCTTCTCTCCTCAAGTGGAAGGAAGGGGTCTTTCTTGGAGCCATGAGCTACACCACTTGGGATTGGGGGAGGGGTGTCGCAAGCACTCCCTTAGCTGCCCCAGCTGGTGTTGCAGTAGGTTGCATGCCCTCTAAATCCACTGGCTCTGAGCCCAGCTCAGCACTAAGGCTTGTCTAGGAGTTGCAGTCCTTGTGGCTTAGGCTGCCTTTCAAGTTTACTTAGAACTCCAGAGCCCTTTAGTGCACAGTGGACAGGCTTGCCAAAACTCAAGATGCAACTGCTAGGATGGGTGATTTCCCTTTGGCTAGGGCAGGTCTAAATGCTCTCTCCATGAGTGGGCTTCAGCTGAGTTCATCCTGGTTTTGCTTTCCACTGTGACAGGGAAGCACTGAGTTCAATGTAAAGTCTGGCAGTCCTTGCACTCTCCCTCTCCCAAAGGCATCAATTCTGTGTGCCATGCAGCTGCTGCTGAGGAGGGGCAGTGTCAGCAATTCAAGACTGTCTTTCCTACCTCTGCAGTACCTCTTTCAGCAATGTGACGTTAAAATCTGATACTATGAGTGCTCACCTTGTTTTTGGTTATTTTGAAGATGCTTTTTTTTTTTTGGTGTAAGTAGTTGTAAAATTTGGTGTTCCTATGGGGAGGACAATCAGTAGAGCCTTCTATTTAGCTGTCTTTCCCCACCCCTCTACCTAACTTTTATTACAATATATTGTTTTAATTTTTCTATTTCATATTAGTTATTGTTAATCTCTTAGGGCCCAATTTATCAGTTAAACTTTATCATAAGTGTGCATGTAAAAAGCATAGCATATGCAGGTTTGGTACTATCCATATTTTCAGGCATTTACTAGGGGTCCAGAATGTATCCCTGAAGGATTGGAGGGACTGCTACATGTCTGTTGGCCTCCTTGTCTACGTGGCTGCTTTCCTTTGCCACCCAACTTTTGACCACCTTGTTGCATCATTCACACTAGGATGTATATTCAGTGATACTGTATTATAGGGTCTTAATCTTGTTTAGGAATTAGGCTCACAGATGCATGCTAGCATGGTTGATTAACCTTGCCTCATATCTTCTAAGTAACTGTGGGTCCTAGCTAGCCCAGGAATGTCCCAGTTTATGCCTGTTGTCTGATGGCATATGTATGAATGATGCCTGATTTCGCCATAGCCATTCTGGTTTGAAGTCACTTTGGATTTGGGGGCCTCCCCCATCCATTCCATGTCCACATGCTATTCCACCTTCCCTCCTGGCAGTTCTGGGACCAGACTGACTTTGAGCATCAGCTCCAGGAATTGGACTTACTCCCTGAGGGGACAGCTATTTCTGGAAGATGTCCAACATTACAAGAAGAGAACTGTTTTTTTTTTTTTTTTTGAGACGGAGTTTCACTCATGTTACCCAGGCTGGAGTGCAATGGCATGATCTTGGCTCACTGCACCCTCCGCCTCCTGGGTTCAGGCAATTCTCCTGCCTCAGCCTCCTGAGTAGCTGGGATTACAGGCACGCGCCACCATGCCCAGCTAATTTTTTGTATTTTTAGTAGAGATGGGGTTTCACCATGTTGACCAGGATGGTCTCGATCTCTTGACCTCGTGATCCACCCGCCTCGGCCTCCCACAGTGCTGGGATTACAGGCTTGAGCCACCACGCCCGGCCTAGAAGAGAACTGTTGATAGCACTACCTAGTCAGAGCATGAGGCTGTCACCTTTGAAAAGCCCAAGGCAGCCTAAGGCAGGCCAGACATGGAGGTTTAATCCAGCAGATGGCCAGCCAGCAGGTAACTGAACCTCAGGCCCTAGGTTTGAGCTCAGGGTTCAGTCTCTGTCCCCTGTTGACAGAATAAGTAGGGGAAGGACCAGGAACAATTCAGGGTGGCAGATACCAGAGATGGTCCTCAAGCACTGGCCAGAAACCCCCAGGCTTCCCCAGCAGCAAGGAAGCCTCCATTCTTAAGTCCTCAGAGCTTCAGTTAGAGCCTGAGAAATGCCCTCACCCAAAGCCAGGTTTTATCCTCAAATCCAAGGTGAAGTTGAGCCTACATACTTCGAGGCTGCAGCTGGGTGGGAGTCAGAGGTTCAGTGTAGGCAGGACCTGACACAAATGACCAAACAGATGACCCTGGAACCTACAGTGGGAGGATTGCCACCACAACTCCACATGACCAAATGTTCATACCACCTGACAACTGCCTAAGGACACCCTGGGAGACATGGCCAGTCTCATCACTTTGCACAAGTCAGTCCCTGACACATCTTTCATAGATGACTCGCAGTATGAGTAACATTTCTGTTTGATAACTGACCAATCAACAATTCCTGGGGAGCATCAATGCTACCCCCAATATTCTGATACTTAAAGGATGCCACTCTTCTGCTCTTCCCAGCCCCATGTCCCCTGGTGAACACAATGTCTTGACAAACCATTTTATGAAACCCCTCCTGTATTAGTTTTCATGCTGCTAATAAAGACATATCTAAGACTTGGGGAAAAAAGAGGTTTAATTGGACTTAATAGTTCTACATGGCTGAGGAGGCCTCAGAATCATGGTGAGAAGTGAAAGGCACTTCTTACATGGTGGTGGCAAGAGAAAATGAGGAAGCAAAAGCAGAAACACCTGATAAACACATCAGATCTCATGAGACTTATTCACTATCATGAGAATAACATGGAAAAGATCACCCCCATACTTCAGTTACCTCCCCCAGTTCTCTCCTACAACACATTGGAATTCTGGGAGACAGAATTCAAGTTAAGATTTGGGTGGGGACACAGCCAAACAATATCATTCTGCCCCTGGCTCCTCCAAATCTCGTGTCCTCACATTTCTTTTTTTTTTTTTTTTAGATGGAGTCTCACTCTGTTACCCAGGCTAGAGTGCAGTGGTGTGATCTTGGTTCACTGCAACCTCCACTTCCCAGGTTCAAGAGATTCTCCTGCCTTAGCCTTCTGAGTAGCTGGAACTATATAGGTGCACACCAGCACACTCAGCTAATTTTTGTATTTTTAGTATAGATGGGGTTTCACCATGTTGGCCAGGCTGGTTCCAAACTCCTGACCTCAGGTGATCTGCCAACCTCAGCCTCCCAAAGTGCTGGGATTACAGGCACGAGCCTCTGCACCTGACCATGCTCACATTTCAAAACCAATCATGCCTTCCCAACAGTCCCCCAAAGTCTTAACTTGTTTCAGCATTAACCCAAAAGTCCACAGTCCAAAGTCTCATCTGAGACGAGGCAAATTCCTTCCACCTATGAGCCTGTAAAATCAAAAGCAAGCTAGTTATTTCGTAGGCACAGTGGGGGTGCAAGTATTGGGTAAATACAGCCGTTCCAAATGGAAAAATTGGCCAAAACAAAGGGGTTACAGGGCCCGTGCAGCTCCAAAATCCAGTGGGACAGATTTTAAAGCTCCAAAACGATCTCCTTTGACTCCAGGTCTCACATCCAGGTCATGCTGATGCAAAAGGTGGGTTCCCATGGTCTTGGGCAGATCACTAACTTCTTCCCCTCTAACTACAGGCAAGTCTAGAACTGCAGAAGATATCAGCATGCTGCCCCTGCATCAAGGAGTGGGAACCTCTGCCAACAACTTGGAGTTCAGCGACCCCTGCCCTGAGGCCCGGAAGAAGCTGCAGGAGCTGTGTCGCCATATGTGAGCACCTCAGTGCTTGGGTTGGGGGAGGCAGGGCTTCTCAGAAAGCTCAGCTCCAGCTGGGAGCCCCTGATTGTGTGTGAGTGGATAGTCACAGGAGTGTGAGACATGCCGCCTGGGAGCATGGGTTATGTGGTACTCCCCACAACAGCCACAGGTGCAGCGACCCTCACAGGCACACACACTCCTGTCCTTCCCTGCTCACCATCCTCCCTACAGCATCACTGCAACCATGCAAGGAAGACAGGATTGATGCCCATTTTGTGGATGGGGAAACTGAGGCAGCCTAAGCAGGTATGTGGGTAAGGAGTTGCCTGAGCTCATGCAGCTCCAGTGGCATGCCTCCTGCCCCTGCCCAGTAATGCTCTCTGCCTCCTCAGCGCCTTGCTGGGGACATCCCTTTGTGTGGTTCCTTGCAGTTAGGGCTCTTGTGCCCTGACTGTTTGTTTCTTATTTGCTAGCTGTTCTACAAGACAAACAAAAACCTCTGAAAACAAACCAAAAAGACCCTTGACATGGGTGATTAGTGGTTTTTATCATTCTGTGGATCCATCCCATAAGCCCTCACAATTTACTCAGCATTTCTCTGAGGGCCCAGGCCATTGTCTGTAAAGGATTTAAGCGCCTGTTCACATCTAATAGCTTAGTCATATACGTCTCCTGGGGTCACTGGGCCAGCACATGGGGAGAGGACAGCCACTCAAGTTTGACCCCTCACTGTGACACTCTGGAAGGAAATTCTCTTCTCCAAAACTTCAGGAGCTAGGGTGAGCAAGGTCTTCAAAACCCCAGGATCCTCCCAACCCTCTGGCAACTTCCATACACAGTCCCACTATATAGATCCTCACCCCCAGGCTCAGGTGGAAATCAGCTAAGGGCTGTTCTTAGAGATGCAGCGGGAACTCCCAGTTCTTCCCAAAAACTACCTTTATGGATGAAGGAGCATGGGTTGGGGACATGTACTTTGGGGACAGGGGAATGGGATGGGGGCTTGGGCACTAAGGAGGGGCTATAGACAGCATCTGTAGTGAGTGAGAACCAAGAGGCTGAAAATATGTTGGTCTCCTTCTCTGCAGAGAAGCCGAAAAGGCCACGTGGAAAGGGAAGAATATCTCCAACCCCATGATCTTACGAAACTACAAGGCAAAGATGCCCTCTCATCTAACATCGCCCCGCAAAGGAGACTCTCAGACCCAGAGTTTACATTACCCTCCCACTGCGAGTGCTCAGACTCTCACCCCAACCCCTCAACCATCTTCTGCCCACCATCTTCTCTTTAGTCAGCAATCTCAAGAGGGGAAGGTACCCAAGAAGGCCTTTAAATTGCATTACACCTTCTATGATGGCTCCTCCTTTGTTTAGTATCCTTTTATTTGGTGCCACTATTTCACCCCAGCTACTCAACCCCAGCAAAGTCCAGGACTTGACACAGCCTAAATATGTCCTTAGGCTTTTTAGTTATCGGAGAAGCCTGGTGATAGGTCTCCTGGGTATTAGGAGTTTGTCTAGGTCAGACTCGGGAGGTCAGAGGAGGAAGTAACAAATTTTAAGTTCAGTTCAGATCAACATGAACATACCAAACCCCAGCTTCATGTGAGAAGCTTGTTAGTGCAGGCTGGGAATGCAAAGTCCCTGTCTTTGAGGACCTTTCAGGTGAGATGAGGTTAAAGACACAAAACAAATCATCTCCAATGGAGAGAAGGGAACTAGGAGGCCCTAAACAGTTGGGAACCTTCATCCTTCTGTCCCTGGCTCAGTGGTTAAGCTCTGTGGTCTTGCATACTTCACCTATCCACATCCTTGGAGCCTGAGACCTCACCCCAAATGCGCTATTTCCTGGGCCATGACTGCTCTGCCGCTGAGGTCTGCGCGGGCTCATAAGCATAGTGTGAGCTGGGTCCCAAGCTTGGGTGGGGGAGCAACAAAAGGAGACACATTTTCTCTTTGAGAATCTGATGAGAGTTATAGACCTTCTCTCTAGAAATGAGCACTTATATACACATGCCTGTAAGGCATTACCTGTGATTGCAGGGCGTTTACCAACCTCCAAAGCCTGTCTTTGGATCTGGGTTTGAAAAGACAAATCTCTTTGGAGGGTGAGCCCTGAGGGCTCTGCATACCTAAGAGTGATTTGAGTCCAATTATTTTCTTCATTCAGAGATGTGTATCAAGTATCTATCATGTGCAAGGAATTCAGATAATGAAGTGAATGGATCATTTGTACTTCAGAGGGAGCAACTTTTTTTTTTTTTTTTAATTTTACTTTAGGTTATGGGGTACAAGTGCAGGTCATGCAGGGTTGTTGCATAGGTACATACTATATCAAGCATTTCTCCCCATGTTATCCCTCCCCACCCTCCCTACCCCCCGCTGTCCCTTCCCTAGCCACCCCCCTCCAACTGCCCCCAGTGTGTGAGGCTCCTCTCCCTAAGACCACATGCTGTCATAGTTCAACACCCACTTGTGAGTGAGAACATGCAGTGTTTGGTTTTCTGTTCTTGTGTCAGTTTGCTGAGAATGATGGTTTCTAGATTCATCCAAGTCCCTGCAAAGGACACAAACTCATAGTTTTTTTTATGGCTGCATAGTATTCTGTGGTGTATATATGCCACATTTTCTTTGTCCAGTTTATCGTTGATGGGCATTTGGGTTCGTTCCAGGTCTTTGCTATTGTACACAGGGCTGCAGTGGACGTATGTGTGCATGTGTCTTTATAGTAGAACGATTTATAGTTCTTTGGGTATATGCCCAGTAATGGGATTGCTGGGTCAAATGGAATTTCTGTTTCTAGATCCTAGAGAAGTCACCACACTGTCTTCCACAATGGTTGAACTAATTTACACTCCCACCAACAGTGTAAAAGTGTTCCTATTTCTCCACATCCTCTCCAGCATCTGTTGTCTCCAGATTTTTTAGTGATCACCATTCTAACTAGTGTGAGATGGTATCTCGATGTGGTTTTGATTTGCATTTCTCTAATGACCAGCGATGATGAGCATTTTTTCATATGTTTGTTGGCCTCATATATGTCTTCTTTTGAAAAGTGTCTGTTCATATCCTTTGCCCATTTTTGAATAGAGTTGTTTGTTTTTTTCTTGTATATCTGTTTTAGTTCTATGTAGATTCTGGATATTAGCCCTTTGTCAGATGCGTAGACTGCAAAATTTTTTTCACATTCTGTTGGTTGCTGTTTCACTCTAATGATGGTTTCTTTTGCTGTACAGAAGCTCTGAATTTTAATTACATCCCATTTGTCTATTTTGGCTTTCATTGCCATTGCTTTTGGTGTTTTAGTCATGAAGTCCTTGACTATGTCTATGTCGTGAATGGTTTTGCCTATGTTGTCGTCTAGTGTTTTTATGGTGTTAGGTTTTATGTTTAAATCTTTAATCCACCTGGAGTTAATTTTAATGTAAGGTGTAAGGAAGGTGTCCAGTTTTAGCTTTCTACACATGGTTAGCCCGTTTTCCCAACACCATTTATTAAACATGGAGTCCTTTCCCCATTGCTTTTTTTTGTCAGGTTTGTCAAAGATCAGATGGTTGTGGATGTGTAGTGTTGCTTCTGAGGCCTCTGTTCTGTTCCATTGGTCTATGTCTCTGTTTTGGTAGCAGTACCATGCTGTTTTGATTACTGTAGCCTTGTAGTATAGTTTGAAGTCTGGCAGTGTGATGCCTCCGGCTTTGTTCTTTTTGCTTAGGATTGTCTTAGCTATGTGGGCTCCCTTGTGATTCCATATGACGTTTAAAGTGTTTTTTTCCAGTTCTGTGAAGAAGGTAATTTGTAGCTTGATGGGGATAACGTTGAATCTATAAATTACTTTGGGCAGTATGGCCATTTTCACGATATTGATTCTTCCTAACCATGAGCATGGAATGTTTTTCCATCTGTTTGTGTCCTCTCATTTCGTTGAGCAGTGGTTTGTAGTTCTCCTTGAAAAGGTCCTTTACATCCTTTATTAGTTGTATTCCTAGGTATTTTATTCTCTTAGTAGCAATTGTGAATGGGAATTCACTCTTGATTTGGCTCTCTGTTTGTCTGTTTTTGGTATATAGGAATGATTGTGATGTCTGCACATTGATTTTGTATCCTGAGACTTTGCTGAAGTTGCTCATCAGTTTGAGAAGATTTTGGGCTGAGATGATGGGGCATCCTAAATATACAGTTGTGTCCTCTGCAAATAGAAACAGTTTGACTTCCTCCTTTCCTAACTGAATACCCTTTATTTCTTTTTCTTGCTTGATTGCTCTGGCCAGAACTTCCAATACTATATTGAATAGGAGTGATGAGAGAAGGCACCCTTGTCTAGTGCCTGATTTCAAAGGGAATTCTTCCAGCTTTTGCCCATTCAATATGATATTGGCTGTAGGTTTGTCATTGTAGCCAAATGAATGAGACATCTATGAGATGGTCAAGCTCTAGAACATGTTGGATTTGGGCAACAAGACCCCCAGAAAAACACAGGACACCAGGTGACTTCCTACCCAGGCATTCTCTAAAGGGAGCCCTGTTTAGCTTTCACCACCCAAATTCAAACTCCTTCTCTTCAGTTTAGAAGGAGCAATTAAAGTTGCTCCATAGAGGGAGCAATTAAAGTTCCACTCTCGGGAGGAGCTAAAGTTAAAGTTCCCCTCTAGGGAGGAGCTAAAGTTAAAGTTCCCCTCTAGGGAGGAGCTAAAGTTAAAGTTCCCCTCTAGGGAGGAGCTAAAGTTAAAGTTCCCCTCTAGGGAGGAGCTAAAGTTGTCCTCTAGGGAGCAACTTTAATTGCTCCTTCTAAAGTGAAGAGGAGTTTGAATTTGGGTGGTGAAGGCAAAAGAGGGCTCCCTTTAGAGAATGTCTAGGTAGGAAGTCACCTTGTATCCTGTGTTTTTGTGAGGGTCTTGTTGCCCAAACCCAACATGTTCTAGAGCTTGACCAGCTCACAGATGGCTCATTCATTTGGCCACAAGAACTCTAAGGCCAGAGAGGGCAAAGCACTTATTCCAGGTTACGTGGTCTAGAGTTATATAAAATGTCATGGATGGGAGAAGTGGTCATTTGTTTCTGCCCCTTCGCTGTAGAAATGGGAAAACTGAGATCCAAAGGCATGATGTGACTGACTCTATGCCACAAAAGGAATTCTGTGGTTAAGCTAGTTCAGGCCCTGGGTTCAGGGCCTCCTTGCCTCAATTTAGGGTCCTCTCTTGGGTACCATTTTTATACTCAAGGATTATTTTCTCCTGCAGAGAGCAGGGTAGAGGGTGATGGAAGTGGATCTCGCTTTAATAATAAAATCACTGGGCACTCAAGATCCCCTGCTTCTCTTCTTGGAGGAGAGAACGGGTCTCTGGGCTGTCTCAACCACTTTCACAAAGGCCAAGCCCCACAACCAGGCTCGCCTGGCACCAGCCCCCTTGCTTCCTTTGGCCTCCTCTTGACTGAACTGGGAATTCAGGATTTAAGTGCTCTGTCAAAGAAGTCTTATTGTTTCTCAGACTGAAAATGAATCCATTCATCACACTCTGCTCAACCCTGCCTGCAGCGCATCCTCCAGTATTGTACAGCTGACTCCTTCAAGAGCAGCTGCTGCTTGCAATGGCTTGTGCTCCACCCCCACTTCTTTTCTGACTCTTCGATGCATTTAATAGGATGATCTCCCTGAGCTTCTCGTGAAGCCGTGTCTATGAATTGGTCTTCTATTGGGGCATCAGAAAGGAGGGTGGGCGTGTGTGTTATAAGAGTACAGTACCCTAGCCTGCAGGAATCTCTGTTCTCTCACTCGTCCCAGAATTCTGAGCACCCTCCCAACCCCCAACTTGTCTAAGAGAGCCCAAATGGTCTAAGAGACCCCCCAAACTTTTGATCCATTGCTACTGGCAATTTTGACTCACACGCCAACAAGGATCACATCTTGGCAAATAATGCTCTTCTCTTTGGTAGTCCTAAAAGACCAGGACTCTAGGCTCAGTTCTTTTTGGTGACTCTGCACAAGTCACTTCATCTCTGTTTCTCACTTCCCTTGATTATAAGATGAGGAAGTTGAATCCAGTGATCTTTAAGGAGAAATTCTGTGTTACTGTGTTCAAATGGTCAGAACACACGTGCAGCTATCTGATCCCTCTCAAGTATAGAAAATGTTTGGAAAACTCTTCTTTTACCTACTGTCTTCCATAAAACACTGGACTCAGCAGTCGACTCTGTTTTCATAGACATTGCTGGTCAAGCTCTCAGGCAAAAATGATACATCTGCCCTGGGAGTATTATAAAGCTCTAAGCTGTAATTGGTTTGCACTGGGCAGCTTCAGACCTCAGACCCGTCTCAATGTTCAATTCATTCATTCATTCTACTGGATGTGAGTAGTATCTCACTATGGCTTTGACT